CCATCAGTTTTGGGGTCCTTGGCCTGGAAAATCTGGAGGTCGGCCTGTTTTCCAGTGTAGTCCTGTTTCTCTGACTGTGACTGGCTGGATGTGCTCTCTTCATCCTCTGACATGGGAATTGGCTCGGAGTTCATCTGCCTGGCTGTGTTTCCTGGACGGGGCCGCCTTTTACAGCTGCTTTTTGTATCTCTGCTTCTGTCTCCTTGAATCCCAGTCGGCCTCTGCAGATGGCCGCTCACACTGAGCCTGGTTTCGCTGGAGGTTTCTTCCTGTTAAAAGGGAGTTCTTCCTCTCCACTGTCACTACAAGCATGCTTAGTGTGAGGGATTGTATTTGAGTCGATGCAATCAACTGGTTTTGCTTAAATAGAAAACCTTGAATCAATTTGACTGGATGATCTGGTTGAACTGTAAAGTGCCTTGAGATGACTTGTGTTGTGAATTGGCGCTATAGAAATAAACTGAATTAAAAACGTTGAAGACCCCTGCTCTAGATACAAAAAAGGAGGTTTTTAAGAAAATTGCCACTTATTGACGGTAGTTGATCGATAAGATCAATCAATCTTAGATTAATTGACTACTCGATAACTTGTCTCCCTAATAATGTATCTTATCTTATAATCAATCCTCTTCACAAGGCCGGCAAGGGCTGCAGTGTTTTTGATGTTCTTCTAGGTGATCTTCTTGATTAGTTGGTTTTGTTTTCTTCATTTGCTGATAATTATCACTCAATCTGTGTCATTGCAGTCTTTGTGTCTAATGTGTTCTTGAATTGCTGTAAATTAGTTGGTTGCTTTTTGCTTGTTGAGGTCTTTTCTTCTTGCTCTTCTTTTCTGGAGTCTTTTCTGGTGAGTTGTGTGTGTCTATTGAAGCTGCACCAAAACAATAGCTGAACACAAAGGGGTCCACCCCTGTGGAACGGGGGGTCGTTTGGTTTCTATTGTTAGTGGGGCATTACAGGCTAATGCCGATCGGAGGTCACTAAAATTAGTGTTGCTGATAAAAGAGGCCAATTGACCCCTGTTCCAAAGGGTTGGAGCCCTTCGTTCATTTAAATTAGCATGTTTTAAAAACAAAAACAAGGTTTTGTTGGGCTACTGTATAAAACCTCGAACTCAACGCTATTCCTGAGATTTTGAACTGAAAGAGCTTCCTAGATGGGGAGCAAAACATCTTTAAACTTGGAAACAAAGTCCATTGGATTGTTTTTAATTTTTTATTTTTTTTTTTAATGACTATGAATGACTGAGAACCTTCACCAGCAACTCATCAATCAAAACAGGAAGTAAACACGATACCTCTCTCCAGCAGTAGCACCCTGTGCTGGAGAACCAACAGCGAGTGACTGTATAATAGGAAATAGTGAAATATTGATATTTTTTGGGTTAGAAGGAGGGTGAGTGTTATATACAGGTCTTTTTTTGTGGCGTTCCATAGTAAATTCATTAAGAATAGATTTATAGAAGTTTAATCACTGATCTAAAATCAGACTGGATGGGCAACCCTTTTTTTTGCAACATCTTCCAGGTCATTCTGGAAGATAATTCTGGTTCCCACACTGTGTAGAGAAGGCCAGACATCTGGTTATATCAATTCAGCTAGTATAAGGACTGACCTGGTGTCTCCACGTAATGGGATGTGCTGCCTCTGAGGGAGGCGCCCAGGGTTCACCCTGATCAGATGCCAGGGAACTGGAACAATTAGTGGGATTGAAAGTGGTTGTGAAGGAGGAAGAGTGAGATAAGATTTGTAAGATAGGGACAAAAAGGAAGAGATGAAATAAAATATGATGAGGCGGTTGGAGGGTTGGGTCAAGAGCTGAACACAAATCATCTAAGTTGTTATGACAATTCACCTGCCATGGCTCCTGGTGGTGGTCAGGGGGTCCGCGGTTGCTGTATATGAATGTGTGTGTGTGTGTGAATAGATGAGGACTGGATGTATTTGTCAGTCTTGGTTCTGTTATTTTCTTTTGAGTATTCAGTTTTACTTTGCTCCATGTTTTCTAGTTTTATTGGTTTAATTCCTATTGTTCCGTTTTCTGGTTATATTTCAGTTCTTAGGTTTGTATTTGTTTCCCTCTGTTGCCCTGTTGTGTTGGCCTCCTTTTCCTTAGAATCCTCTCTTCACACCTCGCAAACGGCGGTAGAAATTCTTCCCCTGTTGTGTTGGCCTCCTTTTCCTTAGAATCCTCTCTTCACACCTCGCAAACGGCGGTAGAAATTCTTCCCCAACGCACCACTCCTTGCTTTCTACTTCGTAGGGATCAAGTCCGTTTATGAAGCCCATCTTTTGCAGATAACGGTCCCTGGCTTCCCTCTGCAGTGTGTCTCGGTATATTCCGCATCCTTTCTTCGCTTTTAACATCGCTGTTTACTCGTCTTTCTGCTCTGTCTCTATGCTGTTTTAGGTCTTTGTTTACCGTAGCAACTAGCTACCAATATGGCGGCGTACCCAGAATGCAACGCGCTGTGCCCGAGCCTTATTATTTGTGAATAATAATTTACCTTAATTGATCTCACATTGGAAGCAGTTGGCTGCCATCATGCGGCGCCCGGGGAGAAATCTTGGGCTGTGTTCGAATTTATGGGCTGCCATTCAAGGAACTGGATCGGATCCTTTGAAGTAAGGAGACCCGAAGAGGTCCAGTTTTCTCTGACCTACGCTCTGTCGCCTAGCAACTGTGACAGTTGAAACACAAAGCAGGAAAAGAATGAATACCAAACTTTTCAAAATTTTTATTTTTTAATTTTTTTTATTGTAAAGTGTTCTTAAATTACAGCCAGGCCCATTTACACAGTAACAGATAAAAACCTTTAGATAAACCAAACATTCCCTGCTTCCTGTCTGACTTAATAAACACTAAAACTACTATTTTCATTAATTTCAGATGGAAATATTCCCAGAAGTATTCATACTTATATTAAACTGAAATTCCAATATTCACCACTTTTCGGAGCCAAGTAGCTTTTTCTTCTGATCATGGAGCAGCCAGCTTGCTTGGTCTCGCAATGAATCCTGGGATATCCAAGGATAGCGAGGATACATCGGACCCATCCTTCAGATCGGGCATAAAGAAGGATGCATTTTTAGGCCGCATGACGAGGAGTCTTGGAATCCAACCAGACCTTCGCGCTGCGTTATGATGTAATCGACCTTGAGTGATGCATCCCATAAATTCGAACAGAGCCACGGTTTAAGGGTTTTGCTCAGGAACCCAGAGTGGAGGCAGTGGGATTCAAACCAGGTTTTTTCAACCTTCTCAGAGCTCAAGCACACTGCTCTAACCACTAGGTGAACACTCCCCAATATATATAGCAGAATAGTTGTTTAGGTGAAAGTAGTATAGTATATCTGTCATGATGGGTCAAAGAGGCTAGCCCATATGCAGAACACAACGGAGACTGGATAAAAGTTTAACAGAGTTTATTGAGGTTTCACAAAAACACACGATAATGAACTGGGTCTGGAAATGGTTCGGGCTGGTTACTGAAGTCTTGACTGGGACCAGAGACTGTTGGTTAGCAGAGTTCAGAAGGAGCTAAAGCGTCTAGCTTCAGACTTAACATGGCTGACCTTGATCTGAGCTTCCAGCTCTTCACAGAGAACAGCAGGGGATATCCACATAGGAAATCTTCAGGTTGACTCCACATAGGAATCTTCAGGTTGGCTCACCAGGGCTGATTAGCAGGTTAAGCTCTCCCAGAGCTTCAGGCCAAAGAGACAGGTTTCCAGTGAGGCAGCTCACCCAGAGCTTCAGACTAGCGACAGGTTTCCAAACTAAGATCAACACTGCGGCGAGGAAGCAAGGTCTGGCAGGTGTTTATAAAGGGAAGTTCTCCTAATGAGTAGATGCTTCTCAGGTGTGCTGGAAGATTCCAGCACTAGGAGACCCATGGCACACTCTGCTGGAGACAGGGGGTAATTTCCAGATCCCAACAGTAACTCCAGCCCTAAGAGAAAAACAACAAAAAAGCAGAAGAGGATCCTCGGCGCCCTCTGGTGGGCAAGCCTGAAGATCCCAACAATATCACTGAAAATCAACAGATGATGCCCCATAGCAAGTTCTCACTTTGACATTTGCCAAAACTTGCACATTATTCTGCCTTCTTATGGGGTGAATTATTCTTTCTATCATTTTTGCAAGCAAAGAAAATTTTGGCTAATGGAAAAAAAAAATCTATCCAGAAATAAAACTTGGAAAACAATTTAGAGTCTGAGAGGAACTGTTCTTTTTTCAGAATTTGTGTTTTCAAATTATTTACTTTTTCTTTTCAAGATTTTATATTTTTTTAATTTTGACTTTTTTAAACTTAAATTTTAAGATATTATATTTTCTTTACAGGTTTTAAGACCACTCAAACTTTACTTGTTGGCCTACTTTGATTGGCCGTTATACATTTTTGCAGTCCATGAAGAATTGAATGAAATTCTCCCATTTCAATAAATCATATTTATGTTTGATACAGCAGTGATGATATGTCTTTGGTTTTCCGTCCAACATTTTTAGTGCTTGCTTTTTGTTTTCCATCAATTCAACTGGATTTGATTAATCTTTGCAGGCAGATATCCAACTTGTCATCATTATGGGACAAAATCATTGCATCAACATATATCTTAGCTGCTTCATGCATCAAATTATCATTCAAATAGCAGAAGTTGTTTTGATTACAGTTCATTCCATTTCCAAGTCTTCTCAATATGAATTTTAAAATAAAGTATTTGGTTTTTTGCAACATCTAAATGCTTGAATTCATGTACCACTGTTAGCTGACTGGGTTGGACCATAATTCAACACCTGAAGGCAACCTTGCATATAAAACTCCTACCGGTACTCATTTGATGGTGCATAATATTGAAACTTTGAAACAGAATCAGCTTTCTTGGCCTGGTTTGTGTTTAAGAGCAAGGAGTTGAGCTTTAGTCACTATCCCTTATCAGCATCAATTCAAACAATGATGTATAAAAGTTAAACCTACTAAAATCTCCTCCACCATCCAGATTTTGACCTGTCGATCGAGGGCCAGGAGAGACGCGTAGGACGAAAGCTCCTACAGGAGATGTACAACAGCAGCCAGGAGGAAGTGGAGATTGATGAGGGACCAAAGAACTGCACCATCCCAGGTAAGGCGGCATGAAGGAAAGAGGACAAACCTTTCTTTGCCCTAGAATAGAGAGGAGGCTAAAATAAGAAAAGCAAAAATGGGAAAGAATTGTCCTCTCCCTTTTTCCATTCTTTGGTCCCCCTAATGTAGAGTAACCTATTTGGTTCAGTCATATGATTCCCCGTGACTGCAGCAGTCGATGACGCTCCAGCTGCCTCTGTGGTTTTCACAGCCCTCGACACTTTTTAGGATTATTCTCACCTTTTTTTCTCTCCATTGAACGGGTTATCTTCTTCACACCATCCTTCCTCCACTTTATTACATGTTTCTACTCTGATGTTGCCTCAACAATGACATACATAAAGAATGATCAATGTTTTCTCACATAGTAACCTCAATGTGTTTAAATGGGATCTTAGATGATCAAGTTACTTTAAGTTGTTTATAATTCTGAAACAGAAGGAAAAAAAACAACTAATCTTCTTGCCTAAGAAAATCAGAAAACGGAGGATGACATTTTTAACCAGTTGATACTTTGCTTAATAAATGAAGCTTGACATTAAATGCAAAGAACACATGGGCATTAATTTAGGAAAACTTTCTAGAAATGTTTCAAGTATTTCTCATATATTTAGGTCTGGAGTTTAAATATGTCAATATTTTTTACCAAACCTCTGTTGGAGTTTCATTTTTCATTGTCCCTGGTTATGAAAAATATCATATAATGCTGCCACCAACAAGTTTCAGTGAAGAAATAGTATTTTTGTTATGATGTTTAATGTTACTTATGCTTTACACAGTGTTTAGCGAATAGAACAAAAAGTTTAAAGTCTGTCTCCTCTGATCAGGACAGCTTCTACTTTATGCGCTACATCATTTTCATGGCAGTATGAGAAGTGAAAGAAGAAGATAAAGGCCTCTGAAGAGAGAAACAAAACAGATATTTTCACACAATGGCGTACACTGAAAGCCCAGGTGGGGCTTCCCACTGATGCCTCGGTTGCAAAGTTTCTTCTTGGGAGGTCAAGTTTGGCATGCTATTTGGAGAAATCAATTTCATCACTGCTAGTAAAATGAGGAGAAATGGGCTTGTGCACGCTCTCACACGCGCTTAATAGGCATTCTCTCTCAGGAGCAGTTACAGGGTTGTGCATGTGCATTTTTTATTAAAATGGAGAGGGAGGATCTTTTCAAAAATTCATGAAAATGCACTATAATTTTTTAGACTTCTTCTGTCACTTTCTTGTTTTTCTTCTGTACAGGCCAGACCTTGTGAGTATGAAACTTAATGTGTTTATGAGTTGTTACTTTATGTTGCTTCATATTTAATCATGCAACATTTGTACAGTCATTTGTTGTAGCTTTCAGAACATTGTAAAACACATGAAATTATTCGAAATTGTCAAAAACTTACCAAATTAGTGCCAGACCTGGTACCTCTGTTGATTTCTGTTCTGAGGAATAATGATTGGTTAACATCTAGTGTTGCAATACCGATACCAGTATAGGGCAGGGCCCCGATCCAGCACTAAAATGGTGGTATCGGTATCAGTACCAACAAATAGGGCATTGATACCATTTTGAGAGCCAAAAGTTTATTCAACTATTTTCACCCATTCCAGGTAGGCAATAAAAAGTTCTACTGGATTCACTTTGTATTAGTCTTTTTCCTGCTTTACAAAGGTAGGCAGCAGCTTGACAAAGCCATGAAGGCAATTATTTTACATCCAAGTATTATGCAGATCTTCACATATACACACACATCAATTTCAACAGATGGTATCGGTATCGGCTAATACTGCACTGCCAAGTATCGGGTATCGGTATCGGCTAATACCGCACTGCCAGGTATCAGGTATCGGTATCGGGGCCAAAAAATTGTATCGGCGCAACACAATTAAAGGAGAAGTTCGGTTTTTTACACTTTAAGCCCATTTTCTGTAGTGTCCAGGATGAAATCGAATGATCGACACCAAAATTTTGACAATTGGTCCTGTCTCTGCTTTTTGGCTCATTTAGAATCACCCCCTGGCTGCTTTAGAATGGCTAGCATAGAGCATGTCCGATAATGTCCTTAAAACAACCTTAAACGTTCTTTTTTTAAAATATGCTACTCACCGTGTCGTCAGCGCTGTTCAATGACGTTCCAAAAAAAGTTTCGTGAAGAAAAAACGTTCCTGTAGTGTTTTATTTAGCATTTTGTAAATCCCATTGAGTTCTGTAGGAATAGTCAATATTCCGCTGCCACCGGAAACGGAAATGGGGCCTGTTTACACAGTTGTAGTCTTTTCGCTTCACTCTGTGTACTCCGACGTCGAGAATCAAGAATCCACCTTTCATATTCCATTTTCTGAGTTTTTTAATGTGTTTAACAGAGACGTTAGCACCTCGACGTCGGAGTACACAGAGTGAAGCGAAAAGACTACAACTGTGTAAACAGGCCCCATTTCCGTTTCCGGTGGCGGCGGAATATTGACTATTCCTACAGAACTCAATGGGATTTACAAAATGCTAAATAAAACACTACAGGAACGTTTTTTCTTTACGAAACTTTTTTTGGAACGTCATTGAACAGCGCTGACGACCCGGTGAGTAGCATATTTTAAAAAAAGAACGTTTAAGGTTGTTTTAAGGACATTATCGGACATGCTCTATGCTAGCCATTCTAAAGCAGCCAGGGGGTGATTCTAAATGAGCCAAAAAGCAGAGACAGGAGCAATTGTCAAACTTTTGGTGTCGATCATTCGATTTCATCCTGGACACTACAGAAAATGGGCTTAAAGTGTAAAAAACCGAACTTCTCCTTTAACATCTGTACTTTGGGCTCCTGGGTACTTGATAGCTCCCTAATGGAGAAAATCCCAGCAGCCATTCCTAGCTGCTTCTCTGCTTTGCGACCTTGAACGGGAGCTGCCATGATTGCCATTTGTGAAACTCAGAGAGAGAAAGGTACAGATAGTCGTTGTTGCAGCTCTCTGGTTTTGGAAAGTAGGCTGCATGCCCAACGTAACTTTGAAGAGAGTTTGGAGAATGTTGTCCATCCCTCTGCCTGCAGGGCGAGACGTTCAGGTGATTTCCCCAATGTGGCCCTCTCTAGGTCCGCAGTAAAAGAAAAAGGTCTCAAGGGATCTCAAGGGGTCTCAAGGCTTTGCAGAAAGTTCGACCGGGTGGTCTCAGGATGTCCTTTGAAATTCCTTTCTTGTTGGACTGTCTTGCAGAAAGTTCTCAGTCTGGAAAGCAAACCAGCATCCTGTTTCCAGTGTATGATTCTATTATTCTCATTGGCCTGCTTGGCCCAACACGTCACAAGATATTTCGAACAGGGTAATTTCTATATATAATCATATCTTGGTACCATAGTTCCTCAGCTCTTCCATCCTTTTTTGCATCTTCGGATAACAGATTAAACAGCGCTGTGAGTTGTTTAAAGCTAAGGGTATCATTTAAGGACCTAACCATACTTTACATATCTGCACTCCTGATTGCTCTGCAGGGTCTTACTGATGCTGTTTTTTTCTTCTTCAATGTTTTCTGACAAACTTCTCAGCCCAGAAGAAGAACTGCAACATTTATGCAAAAATAAAACTATGCACAGTTTGATTCTGTTTGCTTATGACCTCTGAAAGCAGTTGATTCAGCAGACATCTGAATGATGCACTACTTTGTTTGGCCATATCACAAAAAAACTGCACTAAATTACAGAAAAACAGGTGGTTGACAAAATGCCGGAACGGTTCTGGCAGTGTGAAAACTTTTCCAATAAAAAGTAATTTCTCCAAGGATGACTATAGGAATATTCCAAAGAATGAGCTCATTGATTTGAGATGGTTGGACTTCATTTGGAAGGATTGGGGGGGGGGTCCCTCATAGGTTCATTATACAAATGGAACGTCATCACTTTCCCAAGGTTACCTGGCTTTATCTATAAACGGAGGACGGGGTCAAAGTTCACCTTGTCTCTTCTCCCTTGCTGATGACGCAGGAGCTGCTCCTTTTTTTCCTTTTGTTGCTAAATTTAAAGCAGCAGCCCAACCCATGGCTTTAACCCCTGCTACCCTCATGAGGACGGTGTAGTTCCTGCTCAGTAACCTCTATTTTCTAAAAGTCATGTCCTGCTTTGGTGGCCTGTCCTCTTGAGACATTGAAAACCGTATTGGGGTGATTGTCATCCTTCGCCTGATAATTAAGTGGAATAAGTTATTAAAAACTAATAGATTATTGAAGTTGAGTAAAATAAAAACAGCCCATACCAATGTTTTTAAAAAAAATTAATTGTAATGCTTTCTGTTGTAGGGTTTTATGACAAAAGCTTGACATGAGTTTTTTTGCTCAGCAGCCACAGTGCCTAGAAGTTTTCTGAAGTTACCAACTACTTAATATTATCTCTAGCCACAATTTAATGTTTTATATAATTAAAGTTGGCTATGGCATGCTAAAGATTTCTTGAAATTGATTTACAACTTTTTTTTTAAATGTGCACAAGGCTACTTAAACTGTTCAAGATTACAAGGCCCTATTTCACAAAGCATGGTTAGTGGCAATCCAGGGTAATGCATGTGGCTTGTGTGTCGCAGTTAATGCAGATATGCCCCCCCCCCACCCCCACCCGCAGACACTATGGTGGACCTCCCCAAAATTGTAGGTGACTGCAGACAGTACCGCAGATACCGTTGCAGGGAGGAGACAAAGGAGGCCTCTAATTGTTCAATTCATCATCCACTCTACACTACGGGCATTTCCTGAATTTCCTGAAATATACTGAAAGAAGTGAATCTATTTCTAGGTTGATCAGCTGCATCTCAGTCAAATTGCGCTCTGGTCCAGTTGCCATTGTTGTTGAATGACTTACGTAACCGGAAGAGAAACGCACCACCCACCACACCCACAATCCTAACTAGTTTGTGATTGTCCTTCTTGCGTAGTGGCGTAGAATAACATAGCGTAGACCACGCTTCAAAATTGGGCATAAATCAAAATTATCTGCGACATACCGGAGACAGGCTCAATGCCACACTGCAG